ACCCCACTGACCGTGCAGAGCCTGCGCGAGATCGTTCGAATCGGGAAGAACAAGAAGTACATCGGTTGGGGTATGTGCACACTCAGAGATCTTCTGGATTCGGCGGTTTACTCTTGGCGAGACCTTGGAAGCCGTTCCCTTGTGCCCTGTCCTTTTCAATGGTCTAGAGCCTTCTCATGCTTTGTTGGGGGGTTGCTGTTCCTGGTAGATATTATGTGAAAGGCCGGGCCGCCGCGACAGCGCGGCCTCCTCGATCTGTGGAACATGAAGCTTGACATCTTGGATCATCTCATCGGTCCCTTCCTGACCGGTCTGAAGCTTCCGGATGGCGAAGTGAAGGCGCTCTTGGATGCCTTCGACAATCACGAGACTTTTCGGGCCACCCTGAAGAATAAATCCTGGCAAGGAGCTTTGAGCGATGCTGGCAGGAAGCTGTCTGACCTCATCAGTGGTGTGGTCTACGGTGTTCAGCAAGATGGGGTACTCAAGACGACGCTCAAGGGGACGGTTGACCCCAAGGAGTTCTTGAGTCAGTGCCCCTTGATGCAAGCAAGCATGGGAGAGATCAGTGACCTTGCCAAGAAAGCGGTGCTGGGGCACAGCGGCGACAGGTCGGCAGCCGACCCGCTGCCAGGGGATGCAGCGGACCCGGCAGAGGAGGACTTCTCCTTGGATGACCTGGTGGACAAAGAGCTGCTGCAGAAGGACGACGGGACCTTGCAGCAGTGGAAGGAGTTCGCGGCCAACTTGGTGGATCAATTCGTGACCATCGTTTCAGACGACCTGAAGGTTGCGACCATGGATTGGGCAACGGCTTCTTTATCCGGTTCGATCCTGAGCAAGATTGAAGGCCGAGCACTGTTCCTCTACGACATCAAGATCGCCGGCGAAGCCTCGTCGAATCCGAACAGTCGGCCACCGAGCTTCAGAAACTCCCACCTGAAGCGCGGCGCACAGACCTTTGTCGTTTTGCGGGAAGACAAAGACCACCCCAACGATATCAACCCCAAGGACGTGATCCTTGTCTTGGATGCAGGTAAAAGTGGAAACGAGACCGCCATTGCCTCTTCCCTCATTTGGACCGATGGAAGCCACTTCAAGAAGGATAAGAGTGTTTTCCACATCGTTTACAGCGAGGACAGCCTGAATGAACGGCGGGCCGTGACAAGAGGCATTGTGCAGCAAGATGAACGGATGTACATGTTCACGTCTTCGGCAGCAACATGGAAGTCCCTTGGATGATGCGAGTTTCTTGTGTTGTGAATCGATAAAACAACAGAAATCCTTCACGTGGAAAAGAAAGCGAAGGTTGGAGAAAGTCTCTCGCAAGCACTACGATGGCAGCAGCTGGGGGAGTGTGATTTCCCAGGTTACCGCTCTCTCGTATGATTCCCCGGACATGTGGAAGCTGCCTCCGTCTGAAAAAGCAAAGCTGTATGGCACGGACGGTGCAGTGTTTGTGGGAGGCCCATGCCCAAATGCCGCGCCAAAGCCCGACAACTTCAAAGACGTCGAACCTGTTAGCTGGCATCCGTCCCATCCACACTTGCTGGACGAGATCCTGCACTGCTTCAAACCATCGGTGGTCTTCCGGTATCCTGAGGTGGACCATGTTCTGGCAATCCAATGCTTGGCAGCGAAAATCCCCGTGGTTCTTGTTGTCTTCACACCACACCATGCAGTGTTGCTCAAGAAGCAGATCCTGCAGCAGCTTTGGAAGAAGATGACAGACCCGAAGTGCACAGAGCTGTTTGAAATCGGGTTGGCCCGGATTGTGAATAAGGAGCCGGTTGCGGTTGAGGACCAAGAGGGCAAGGGAAAAAAACGTAAGGCTGAAGGTGATGGAGAGACCGAGATAGACCCCTCGGCCAAGCAGGGCCGCGGACGCGGCCGTGGCCGTGGGGGTCGTGCAGCTGGGCGCGCAGGTGGGCGGCCAGGCGTGAACAAAGCTACGACCGCCGCTGCTGAGAAAGCTCGGCAGCTGCTGTTATCCCGGCTACAGGGCAAGACTCAGACTACCAGCGGCAATGCCGGACAAGGTTCGGCAGGTTCAGAGTAGAAGAGTTCCGCCAGAAGCCCTGTATTAAAGATCAGTTCCATAGAGACATGAGTCGTGCCATCGTAGTGCTTTGAGTAGCTGCTTCCTCCAGCTTGGGCTTTTGCGAACTGACTGGCTCCTCATTTTGAGCGTATCTTCCGCTGTCGAGGACTTGGTCAGATACCGTAGCTACCTGCTAGCTTGCCGCGAGATGCCATGTCAACAAGATGAGCTCAGGAGATATGGTTTATATGATCCTGCTTCTGGAGTCTCGCCGGCTCTTGACTTTCAGCTCGGACTGTGGATGTCCTGATGTGAGAAAGTAAGTTCGGTTGCATGAACGCTGAAGTGCCTGTACTACTTCAGTACCATTTCACTTGACAAGGAGCATAGAGAGAGTGCGCACACTCTTGCATTGTGGAAGGGTCAAGCGGGTGAGCAGTGGGGTAGCCAGCAATGCAGCAAAGACAGGCGGCATTTCCATAAAAAGATGCGACCCATTTCTGCTCCTGCTGCAGCTATGATCGTGGAGGAGCAGGAGGACATCGGCCCTCCGGATGAATATGGGGATGAAGACTTGTCTGGATTGCAGGATTTAGATTTGCCGGTTCAGGCTCTTCGAGGGGAGGATTTCATCCGCGCTGGTGAATGGGAGGCAGTTCTGGCTGAGATCTATCGAGATATTGCGGACTCAGAGCGTCCCGGCAGGTTCCGTTGCTCGTGTTCAGGGTCGTTCACCATGGGCTCTGCTTTCAGTGGCCTGGGCTCAGATTTCTTCGCCATGAAGCGTTTGGGCAAACGGTTCAGCTGTTGCTTCTGGGCGGAATGCAATCCATCGTGTCAGACAGTGTTGCACGAGAGCCACAAGGAGCACATCAGCTTCAGCGACATCCGGTCCCCTGATTTTGCTCTCGCTCCCAGTGTGACCCTCTTTACAGCTGGCTTCCCTTGCCAACCGTACTCCAAGGCGGGGCCGAGTTTGGGAACAAGCGATGCAGGCATGCGGGGAACTCTAGTCTACTACGTCCTTCGCTATCTAGCACATCAGCATCCCGATACCTTCGTGCTGGAAAATGTGCCCGGCCTCCTCCAGCAGCGCCACTCCGGCTTCTTAGAAATGGTCCTACGAGTGCTCACATCCCTCGTGGATGCTCGTGGTAAGCCCCTGTAACCTGACTGCAAGACATTAGCGGATCATTAGCGTTTAGAGCAAAGTATTGCCTGACCGCAGCGTCCAAATATGACAGTGTTAACGGAGGTATGACATTTCGTGGCAGAAGCTGAATGCTTGTCATCACGGAATTCCCCAGAACAGAGAACGCCTCTTCATAGCCGGGGTCCTCAAATCACAGCAGACGCGACCAGTGCAGTGGCCTGCAGAGGCCAGTTTCAAATTAAAGGAGTGTGTGCGGATGTCTAATTACAGAGTTCAGATTTGCCTAAAACGTATAGAAGCAGTTTCACTGCAGGTGCCGATGCCGAACGTGGAGCACTACCTGGAAAAGCATATCGGGGGGGGTGACAGACTGAACAAGGGTGAGGAGAAGAAGCTGTCAGAGGCCATGGCAGAGATTTCCAAGCGTGGTTTGGGTCATGGACAGCACATCTT